TGTTGCTCTGTCGCCCAGGCTGGATGGAGTGCAGTGGCACAATCTCGGCTCACTGCAACCTTTGCCTCCCGGGTTCAAGGGATTCTCCTGCCTCGGCCTTCCAAGTAGCTGGGATTACAGGAGCGCACCACTGCGCCTGGCTAGTGTGTGTGTGTGTATATATATATGTGTATATATATGTATTTTTTTTTTTTGGTAGAGACGGGGTTTCACCATGTTGGCCAGGCTGATCTGGAACTCCTGACCTTAGTATTAAGTACTTCGCCCGCCTCGGCCTCCCAAAGTGCTGGGATGACAGGTGTGAGCCACCATGCCTGGCGGGATTCATGATTTAAAGCAAAAGCAAAAGAAAAAAGAAATAAATTATTCTGCTCAATACTGTTTGGCATAATTGCATTTTCATCTTTTCAACACTCAAAACAGCCTCTTCGGGAAGCATTGAGATGGGAGTGACAAAACTGGCTGGGGCCTAGCTCTCTAAAACGGTGGGGGAGGGGGGGCGCCCTGAGAGAGGCATTCTAGCCTCACCCCAATCACCCCTATTTTTACTCTTCCTACTTTCGGAATTGGAAAGAACGACACTCGAGCTAGGTTCGAATATATTAACTTTCAGGGCCCACTGCCCATCCCAACCCTCCCCTAACAAAGTCCCCTGCCGGTCCCTGTTCCCCCAGCCAGCTGCAGGAACCTACCAACAGCCAGGAGGCTGCCTGGTGGTGTCAACTAAAAAGAGGGAGCGTCTGCGCTGTCACTGTTGGGGAGGGGGCTCTATTAGTGGTTTGAGAGCTTCACAGAAGCCTTCCCCCTCCTAAACCTCCCCAGCCTCCAAGGGGGAGAATTCCACCAGCAGCCCCGCTAGGAACCTAAGCTGGGTTCAGCCATGCAAGCAGCTTCCAGGTGGAACCCCGGCCGTGAGCTTCCCAGCCCTTCTGAAGTGGGAGATGGAGAGCAGGGTGGAGGGAGGCGGCCTGCAGCGTGTAAGTCTCCTCTTCCCCGGCCGGCTCCGGGCTGCGGGCTCTGCCAGCTCAGAATTTGCAGAGAATCTGCAGGTCGACCACCCTCGGCAGCTTCAGCTTAACCAAAGTATCAGCCCCAGGCTAACTCTTTCCCAGGCAAGAGGCTATGGGTGGAGGAGGAGGTGCATGCAACAGGCAGCTGGGCCCATCGCCAGCCTCCTTCTGCCGTGCAGCCCCCTCCCCAGAGCCCGCCGAAAACGGGGGAGGGGGCGGGGGGAGGCGTATGGATGGAATTCGGGACTGTGGACTGTTTTCCAGAGCAACAGGCTAGTGAGGCGGCCCCGGGCCCAGGGAGAGGCGCTGAGAAGGCTGCGGGTGAACGGGAGGGCAGAGGGCACACGTGAGAGCACCTTGCACTGGAGGGGACAGGGCTTCCTCGAGCCCTGCTGTCCCCTCCACCTGTCCGGAGTTCGGCCTGGGAGCACCCCACCCCGCAGGGGACGCCACTCCCGGCTTCCTGGAGACGCAGGCGGCCCTGGGGGCGCGGCCGTCCCACAGCCCGGCCGTCCCACAGCCCGGCCAAGGTGGGACTGGGGGTCCCGAGCCCTGGGCCCCGCAGCGACCGCTTTTCTTTGGTGGGTCTGCACGCACCCATCCGGGCAGGCGGGGAAAGGGGCCGGGCGGCCACCTCTCCTGACGCCCGCAGCGACTGCCCGTTCTCCTCCGGGTCTGGCCAGCGATGGAAACGCTCCTCCGGCCGAGCCTCAAGGAAGTGCTTCACCGAGGCCTGCGCCATGCTCTCCTCCTCAGAAAGCGTGAAAGAAAACCCTAACCCAAAGCATGAGGGAGTGGGGATTGAGCGGCCGCCGGCCCGCCCCCGAAGGCCATTGATTGGAGGAGACTGGACACAGCGCCAGAAGTTCTCCTTGAGTCGCATGATTGGCTGGGAGAAACAGAAGCTCCGCCCGACCGCAGCGCAGATTAGTGCCAGGCCCGGCCCGTCCCCAGTGTCTCGTGATTGGCAGGGCGCAGCGGACGCCCCCTGGGCTGCAGCATGATTGGTCCTGGGTTGCGGGTCCCGGGTCCCTGGTCGGAGCGCCGGCACCTAACAGATGGGCCGGGAGGGTCGCGGTGAGGCCCGGCTCAGTTGCCCCGGTAGACTTCAATCTTGCTGGCCTTGGCCAGCATATCGATGATGTGGGCCTCGAAGTCCGCGTCGTGCACGCCAGTCTTCCGGAACTCGCCCGCGTACCGGTTGTTCTCCCAGTAGTGGTGCCAGTTGCCCCGGCTGTCGGCCCCGAACCCGTACACGTTCACCTGCGGGGAAACGCACCGCAGCGTCACCCCAGGCGGTGACCCAGAGAACGGCGCGGGGCGGGCTCGGGATGACAGAGAGGAGAGGGGTGCGGGAGGCTCCAGGGAGATGCGGGAGCCCCCAGGCCTGGCCTAAGAACATGGACTCACATGGGGACACCACTTTCCCTTTGCAGTTGTCCTTCCTCTGCAGCCCTTGCTAATTCCTTTTTTTTTTTTTTTTCTTTTTATATGGACTACTTTGATCAGCACCACTCAATGAAGCACTTGCCGGCAACGTGGGCGTGCTGGGCCTCAGCTCTTGCTCTTCGTGGCAGGGCAACCCTGGTCACTGGTGGAACGGGTTCTCTGAACGACTAAGCTCCATTTTTACACAAAGTAGGCCTGGGGCTCAGAGCTGGTGGGGGCAGCCGTCCAGATGGAATTCAACTACATACACTCTCCATTCTATTTGTTTTGTTGTTGTTGTTTTCTTTTTCATTCTGTCACCCAGGCTAGAGTAAAATGCCGCTATCTCGGCTCACTGCAACCTCCACCTCCTGGGTTCAAGTGATTCTCCTGCCTCAGCCTCCAGAGCAGCTGAGATTACAGGCGTGCCCCACCACGCCTGGCTAATTTTTTGTATTTTTACTAGAGATGGGGCTTCACCATGTTGGCCAGTTTGGTCTTGAACTCTTGACCTCAAGTAATCCACCCACCTCAGCCTCCCAAAGTGCTGGGATTACAGGCGTCAGCCACCACGGGGTCAATAACTTAACTTTTTAATGAAGAGATTTTGGATTTAGTAGAATCATGAAAGCAGAAACATTTGGGAAAGGCATAGCTATACTTTATAGCCTAGAGATGGGGAAAACCAAGGCCACATGAATTCTGCCTACAGAAGCACATTCCTCTGTTAGCCTACTAAGACCTCAGAAGGCCTGCACTCCTGTGTTCCATGGGTTCCCACCACCCACACCACGGGCCTACCCACCTCATCACACACATGCAGGGCGAAGAAGAGCACCAGCATTCCCGTAGAAGGGTACCGCCCATGATGCTCTGTCCACCGGTCATGGATATACTTGAAGAAGGCTGGGTTGTAGATCTGGACCTGGGAGAAGAAGAGATGACAGGTATATGAGGGGTTTAGGGGCAGAGATTCAGGCTAGACTGAGCGGCTTCTACTTGTCTATGCCTGTCAGCAGACCTGTGCATGTGTCTCCTGAATCGTGTGGCACCTGCTGGGGTCAGGCATCTGGGCAGATGGGGACCCTGAGGTTCTGGAGGGGAACTGGAACACCTGAGCTACAGGACCAGGCGCACAGGCTGGGCCAGCACTGTTTCCACTGAGGTGGGGAGGAAGTGGGAGCTTACCTTTTCTTTATCCACTCGAAGGAAGGACTTCACTGGGGCATAGGTGCTGTAAGCAAATAGAAAGAAATGTAACATTTCAGGCCGGGCGCGGTGGCTCATGCCTATAATCCCAGCACTTTGGGAGGCCGAGGCAGGTGGATTACCTCAGGCCAGGAGTTCGAGGCCAGCCTGACCAACATGGTGAAACCCCATCTCTACTAAAAAAAAAAACAAAATTAGCTGGGCTTGGTGGAGCACGGCTGTTATCCCAGCTACTTGGGAGGCTGAGGTTTCAGTGAGCCGAGATCAC